CCTCTTGTTTTAAACCTTAACTCACCCCCAAGATATTACCATTCAAAAGTCAGGATGAAGTATTTTTTGATGCTTTTTTATACATAATGTAAGCATGTGTCAGCACAGATTACCATGCTCGAGAAATGAACCTAGGAGCCTGCTGGACATGTGCGCCCAGGTATCTGTGCTATTAACACAGTATTTCCAGATCTATGTTGCCTCCACAAGTGCTTTTATGACTTTGAGCAGGGTTTATAGTTCTGGTCTGTCATATCACACTTCACATTCCTTCTCCATCATATGATTGCTCTTAGAGAGAAGGAAGGACAGTGTCCCCACTCCACGCCACTAAATGTCCATATGCATACTTTGCTCTTATATCCTGGAGTCTGGGAAGGAACAATACCCTCAAGCAGAAGGATCAGAAAAGTGTGAGCTAATAGAACATCCAATTGCCTAAAATCAGCTTTCTTCTTGTTATTTTGGCAATCCTGGACAATGCTATATCAAGGAACTCCTGTAGCAGCTGAGGGTCAGCATAGCCAAGTAGGGTGGCTGAGAAATGCCATTGTTCCCATTAATAGGCTCCTTGCAAGCTTTGCGATAGTGAGTGTCCTCCCTTTTGTGCAAAGAAGGGTGATGTCATCCACAGGGACTTCTGAAGCCAGACAAAACAATGGGGACATCCAGAAAGTCCCTGACAGATCCTTGTACTTCTGGTTGACCTGTTCATAACTGCTGCTCTGTTTCCAGAGCCAGCTGACTCTCCAAGGGTCATGTACCCATGGTTCTGCTTCCAAACTGTACCCACTTTTTCCAGATTACACAGCTGACAGAGAAAATCACGACACATGAGACAGTGAAACAGCTCTTAGCACCAACTACCTCACAGTTCCCTCCTCTTCAGGAGAGCAAGGCACATCATCATCAAATCACAAACTTCACTGAGATACTCCTAGTCCCAGCTTCAACATCTCTACCCTGACTCAAGAACCAGCTTCCAAATAAATCCCACAGGATGTACCTTTCAGATGAAAATCTAATCACTTGGAAGCCTGACTTGGGTACCTCCTGTCCAGGTGATACTCTGACTATTCAGTCAGGAAAGTTCCCACCAGTTCACTCCTCACCACAAGAGGACCAGGGACAGAGGCAAGAAAGGACACAGTTGAAAGGGTTGATGCAGTCTATAGATCTGTGTCTATTCATAGTCTCAGAAGGGCTTCTGGAGAAGGCTTTTACCTCGAAGGCAGAGCCTTTACTCAATTTGCTGAGAAACCCAGCTGGAAAGATGGACTCGTGGGGATCTGTTAGGTGATTTACCTGCCATTCGTGATGTCTGCTACAAGAGAAATAACAGCTCCTGCAACCACGGTAATGATATAAGCAGTGCCACATGCATTTTCTTTCTGATGGCATATAACAATATACTTGGTTAATAATAATTTATGAGTATGTATCCGGCAGTAATGCAATTTTATAACATTTACTGGACAGTAACAAATCTCAGGAACAGCAGTGTTTTCTCATCAGAGTGAGGGATTCAAACTGGTACCCGTGAATGGGATCTATCCCAGTACCATGGACAGGGAACAGCTGCACGTGCCGAGGCTACCCCTTGGCTACCTCCAAAACTTCCCCAAAGACCAAAGCGAGTTCTTAGTCTCGTTTGCACTGTGTAGCTGACATATGCCTGCTCCTGATTGTGGAATAGTCGTGTTCTTCCTTGCAGAACCAGAACAGTAGGAATCCATTTGGTGGTCTTGCTTGGTGTAGTTGAAGAGTACAGAAAACTGAGCAAAGATATCCTCCAAGGAGTTTTGTGCATGGAACTCCAATTCCTTCCTTGGCCACCATCTGGGAATCTGTGTTTATTGATATCCATGTAAGAAGTGGAATAAGCCAATAATTTGGTTTGCTGACATTTTCCATAGGAAAAAAAAATCTGCATTTGTATCTCCGAAAAGAAGGAAAGGTCTGTTTTCAGAAGAAAAAAAATAAATTAGTCAGGATGTTTCATTTCAACATCTTAAACGGCAATGTTTGATTATTCAATTCCATATGGTGTTTGACTACTAAACGGAAACCAATGCCATGTGAAAATGATACTAATAAAAAAGCTCACAAACAAAGTGTAAAGGTTATAGAAAATACATAAGCAGCTGCCCAAAATGAACACACTTCGTTTCTTTTTCCCTTTCTTTTTTCCTCCCTACCCTATTATGAGCTCTCACCATTGTAACTGCTGCACTGTTCAGTGCACTGCTGGCAAAACCTGCACAGGAGCAAGATGATTAGCTTTTTATCAACACAGCTACTGAGACAGAGGAGTCAGGTACTTGCTAAGGGTAGTTTGTGTACATCAGTTGCAATCCCTTCAGTGGCTGAGTTCACTCAACACAAATCTACTGTATGTTTCATTTTCTCTTCAACTGTCAATTCTGACTGTCAAAACATTTCAGAACTCAAGCATTTTTTGCCTCTTTCAAAGTATTGCTTTGTTTCTTGTTGTTCCGTTCCACTTACAGCAGGCTTTAAGGTTTTTATTCTCCAACCAAATAGAAACAAAACAAAACAAAAACCATAATATTCTTTTTAAGAAGTGTGTGTTTCCCTTGAGCCAAAATTATAGAAGGATTTTTCAGACATTTCTGATAGCTCTGAAACTCTGGTCCCTTGAGATTTCTTGAAGATGAACTTTCTAGTTGAGCATTTGCTTTAGCTATCACAACACTGAATTTTAGCTGCCCACCCTCAGAAAAACTGAAACAAATATATTGTTTGTTCAGTCTCAATGATATGTTAACACAAGAATGCAGAGTGTATATTTTTTAAATATATCATTTGGCTTTTTGGGTTTTTTTTAATGACCATGAATGTCACGGCCTATTTCATTAATGAGCCCCTTGAAAGGCTGCCATTTACAGGTTCTATCTTGTAAGCTGACAACCTCTTGTTGTCATCTACATGTTGTATTCTACCTTTTCTACTCCCCTAGTCCCTCTATCTCCATTCCTTTTCTTGTTTCCTATTCTCTGGATAAGCTCTTGCCTTACCAGACTGATTGCAAGTCCCTTCTCAGCAGGACTCTGATTCCTGTGGATAGGCATGATCAGGTAAATATCCTGTAGCTTTTACCTCCAGGATTAACAGCTCTACATTACAAGGCTTCTTTGGCAGACAGAAGTTGTCCATAAAGCCAAGAATCCATCTTTATCTCTGCAGTGATTAAGTAAAGATGACTCTATCCAAAGCATATCAAGTTTCTGTCATGAGATTATTATTTCAAGTACTTTTGGCAGAAATTTTTCCACCAGTGAATAAGTCATCCAAACCAGAGCATGCTGTGATGTGTTATCTTATACAGGAGTTTAGAAGCAAAGAAGCTAAAAAAAAAAATTTACTGTTCTATATTTGATGCAGTTGAAACATTCTACTTTGATGTAGTGAAAGTGCTGCACCTTTTCCATGACCAAATCACTTTGCCTTGACTCTTTGCTTCAAGCAATACATATCTATATGAAAAATAAACAAAATCATAGCAAAGTAAATCGGGTTTTTTTCAGAATTCTTTTGTCATGGAGAGGGGCAAAGAGGTCACACTTTTTTCTTTATTGCAATTTATAGTGCAAGCAAGATTCAAAATGTCAAACACACTTTACAACAGAATTTCTATTTTCCCAGGTAATTCTGTGCCTTGCCTTCTTTTATTACTATGTGCCTTGGAAAATGATCAGAGGGAAACAGCATACTTGGGTGATATGATAGCTTGGTGTCAGATGCTATAGCCTGTAGATCTTTTCCTGTGTTAAAAGAGTAGTCTCAAGTTCTGACCTTGACTTGGAAGGAAGATCCTCACCTCAAAATGTCAATCTCTGAGCCATAGCAAATTTAATTAACATTCTAAACTTTTCATTAAGCATGAAGTGAATATGTCCGTGTGTTTAGTTTAGCCTGATTTTTGGTGGGGGAAGCCGCAGAGGCAGCTTCTGAGGAGAAAAAAAAACAACAAACAAATGCTCGAAGCTTCCTATGTCTAGCACAGCCAAACCTCAAGGGCTCAGAAAATGGTCATAGTACTAGCCCAGCTACAGAAGTTGATAATGCTTCTGTGATAACATATTTAAGAAGGAAAAAATTCGCGTGCATGCTCCCGTTCTTCTTGTTCTGAGGGGTGGGGAGGCGGCCGGCAGGGCCCATACCTGTGCGCCAGGACCGTGCCACCAGGGCCATCCTGGTGCCACAGTGGCCTCGCAGCCAACACCCTGCAGCCAGGGCCAGAGCTGCGAGCACCCTGCAGGCAGGGCTCGCAGAGAGCTGTGCCTGCTTGGCCGCTTTCCGCCGGCCGTGCTGCGAACAGAAGGGCGAAGAGGGGCGGCGGCAGCAGCTTCTCCTTCTCGGTGCCCCGCATGAGGAGAGGCGCTGGCTGGGGCCGATGTCGCGGTGGCACCGCCCGCGCGGCTGTGGGGAGACCAGGCGGCCCAGCCGAGGGGCAGGACGAGCAATTCCCCAGTGCGGAGCCCGGATGGGATCAGCCTTTCAGCACTGCGGAACCCTGTAAGAACTTTTCAGCTGGCAGAACTTGAGAACAGACAATCCCACAGACACCGATTCCCTCCCGGATCAGGGAAAAGGGAAAGGTGAAGACACGTGAGGAGAACAAGATGGCGACGCTGAGGTCGATGAAATGGAGGGAGGGAGGGAGAGGAGGAGGTGATCCGGGCATCAGTGCTGAGATTCTTCTGCAAGCCATGGTGAGGACTATAATATAACAAACTGTTTCCCTGTAATTCATGAAGGGCATGGGGGGATGTAGAATTCACCTGCAGCCCATGAGAAAGAGGTGCTTGCACTGGAGTGTGTGGATGCTGAAAAGCTGTAATCTCATGGGAAACTCAAACAGAGAGTTAAACCAGAAGGGAAGTAGCTCCAGTTTTGAATTATATCCAAGGCTAGAGGGGCCCTGCCTCTAGCAGGAAGAGGCATGGGAGAATTGGGTCTTTTGGATGGTGTGGATCCAATGGTCTGGCACATCAGAGCCACAAAAATGTAAAGTTTTAGTTGACACTGGCATGCAGTGCACCTTGATCCCTTCAGGACATGTTGGGGCAGAACCTGTTTCCATTGCTGGGGTGATGGGGGGATCGCAGCAGTTGACTCTGTTGGAAGCCGAGGTGAGCCTGACTGGGAAGGAGTGGCGGAAACATCCCATTGTGACTGGCCCAGAGAGGCCCCGTGTATTCTGGGCATGGACTTCCTTAGAAATGGCTATTACAAAGATCCAAAGGGACTCAGGTGGGCTTTTGGAATAGCTGCTGTGGAGGCAGAGGACATTAAGCAATTGAACACCTTGCCTGGCCTATCAGAGAACCCATCTGCAGTAGGATGGTTCCTGAAGGTGGAAGAACAGCGAGTACCAATTGCCACCTCGACGGTGCACCGCCGGCAGTATAGGACAACTCGAGATGCTGTGATCCCCATCCACAAGATGATCCGAGAGCTGGAGAGCCAAGGGATGGTCAGCAAAACCCACTCACCCTTCAACAGCCCCATCTGGCCTGTGCGTAAATCTGAAGGAGAATGGAGATTGACTGTGGACTATTGTGCATTGAATGAAATGACTCCACCTCTGAGTGCTGCCGTGCCAGACATGCTGGAGCTCCAGTACGAGCTGGAGTCCAAGGCAGCAAAGTGGTACGCCACAATTGACATTGCCAATGCATTTTTCTCCGTTCCCATGGCATCAGAATGCAGGCCTCAGTTTGCCTTCACCAGGAGGGGAGTGCAGTACACCTGGAACTGACTGCCTGCATTCTCCACCAAAATTGTCATGGTTTGACATTGGCCAAAGCCAGGCACACACAGAAAAGACCCACTATTTACTCATTCTCCTCTGCTGTAGTTGAGCAGAGGAGAATGAGTAAATAGGCTTTTCCTTGGGTGCCTGGCTTTGACCAATGTCAAACCACTGCAGTGCTTATCTTTAGATATTTCAGACACTTGTAGAGCAATTACTCTTAGGTGTGATGCAGATGCTGTGAAATTAGGCTGTTACAATACTATGCACTTGACAGTCAGATATTTCTGAAGACACCATGGTAGTTAGATGCAGTCTGAAAGCTCAGAAATCCTCATACCTTCCTATTTCAGTTTTAAACTTGATCTCCACTGCCTCACTTTGATAAGAAACCTAAATATATGATGAAGAAATTTTCTAGGTGGAGTGTATTTGCTTAATGAGATGAAGGGAATAGCAGTACCTGAAAATAAATCTAGGTCATCCACAAGAAATAGACATATATGTCACCTTAGAATGTGTTTGTTGTTTTTGTTCTTCACCTCAGCAGAACTGTAAAAAGTAATGTGTAATGTCACATAATAAAAGTTTCCAGCTGGCTTGTTCCCTGCCTTTACTGGTATGGCATTTCTTCTATTGATCCATTCCGTGTCAATGAATCAAGGGTGCCACAATGTTGTGGGAGCAAGGTTGCATCCAGGTAGCAATGCTGGAGATTCTGTCCCCTTGCATTGCACAAACACACACAAGGAACACAAAGCAGTGAAGGGACCCATCTAACAGGGTACCCACAGCCTAATACATCACACTGTTCTTTCATCAGCTTCTCTCCATGGGGCTCCACAGACATACACTACCATCCCTTTTTCTTCTTCATCTTTGTACTGCCAGTTGATCCTCTGTGTCATAGTCCCCATAATAATTTTTCCTTCTGGTAGTTTTTTAAGATTTCCTCTCTTCAGCAACTGGCACAGCTTTCTGACAATACTGTAGGTTTGCATTTCATCTCTGGCTGCAAGTTCTTTTTTTTTAAATGTGCAAATCAATGCAATGGAGGAAAAATGTTGCACCTTTTATTGATTCTTCTCCCACTGGCATATTTTTTGCACCACATCATTAGACCTGCATTATTATCCTAATGCCTTCAGGGGCTATGACAACTAGTCAGAACAAGGATTTAGTCTAACCCTGTAATAATCCTTATAGCTAGAACTGATTAAAAAATAGTTAATGATTTTCTTCTTTTAATTTTCATATTCTCCCCATATCCAGCACATGCAAGTGAAATCCTTAACAAAAAAAAGAAGAGCTAATTGTGCTGTAAAATGTCAGTGGAACACATCAGCTGTGATCACATTAAACAGTCACAAAATGGGTGACTGCCTACTGCCCGGTAGAAATGAGTAGCCTTAATAGTAGCCTTAATAAAGTTCTTACGAGTAAATATGATGAGCATTAGACAACTGTGGCCAAAACACAGATTTCGATTTAAGCTAAAGCACTAGAGAGTTAAGCTTAATAGACTGAAATAACTGGACTTTGACACTTCCATTAGTGCATGTGTGCTGAATCCAAATTAGTTCTTCTGAGCCTGAACATCTCATATGATGAGTTTCCCTGAATAGAAATTATGTGATTGTAAACATCATGATCTGTCAACTTAGCTTACACAGGGCCTTCCTGTATAATCAGTCTTTGCTAAAAATTAGTAACAAAGTAAATGAGAAAATTCACTGTGTTTAGAGAATCTTTGGGAAATGCAAATCTACAGGAAAAGGTCCTGTGTTTACAGTCAAAGCATTTCAGTATTTAATAACTTGAATGCTTAAACACTAACATATGTGAATCTCTGTGAAATACGTTGTTCCTTACATACTCATCAGCCTTTTAATTTCACATTGCTTTTCACCGATTAGGCACATGCCATTTCTCACCTAATCTCCTTTTGTAATATTTAATTTTGAAATGACAGCATTTGTCAGCCAGATGATGTGCACAAACAAAGCAGGTCACTGTTCTTGCACATAAACATGAATGCCTCTGCCCAAGCTCTCTCTTGATGTGCCAGTAACAGTAAGAGTGAGGTCATTTGCCCACTTTCTGAGACTGTCTGACACAGGGTGCCAGGGTTGGGGGAGCTGGATTAGGGAGGCCTGGTTGACATTGCTTCAGGCTCAGCCCATTTCTGTGTTCAAAGTCAGCTTAAGCAACCACACAAAAAACTTTGTTTTTCTATTCCATTTATGTTACTTCTCAGGTTTCTAAGCTGCCTAGGAATGGCGGCAAGTCTCCTGCTGGGCTTTCTTTCACAAATCATTTCTTTTGTTCCCACTCAGTCTTTACCACAATTATAGCTGGACTAAACCCCTCATTTCAGAGAGTTCCTTGTTCAGGTATCAGAGTAAAACAGTGAAAAACACTCAAATAATGGGTTAGGGCTCTGTGGTTAAGCAACCTGCCTGAAAAGCAGATTTAGACCTCAATATGAGAGAATCAAAGTTATTTAATGTGTATATAGGGCATATATAACCCACCTGCATATTCATTTGGTATTGTCTATCCATTCCATGACTTTCTAATCTATCAGCAGGTTTCAACCTCAAGTAACACAGGAGTATAAATCTCATATTGTTAGTTTTGATTAATTTCATGAAAATTGTTGGCTTGTTAGAGGAGAATTAAATTTTATTAAGTCTTCATGAGAGACTAATTGTACTAAGAATCTCTACTAGGAAATAAAGAATCTACTCAGGAGAGTTTTCAAGGAACTGACATTATATTAAATTGATGCACATTTGGGTTTATTTCCCCTTCAATTTGAAATGGTGAGAGACTCAACTGAATTAATCTCCACACTTTTTTTTTTTTCTACTTGGAGCTACCTTTGTCACAAAATTACTTTATAAGCCAGCTCTAAATGACTATACACTTGTGGATATGAGATTTGCCTTTTGCTCCATGCCTTATGAGACTGCACTACCACTAGAAAATTAAATAAAAACTAGAAATTGAACTCTGGGAGGCACTAAAAGTCTGCTACCTGTTATGTGCATGGATTTCAAAGTGCCTTATTCATTTATCGAAAATTTATTGGACATGTATTTCTTTCACTCCTTATTAAGATATATACATGAAGACAGTCCTACACCGTGAAGAGAAAAGGTAAGCAAAATAAGAAAGTCATCACCTTTCTGCAAGAGCAGACTCTGAACACAAGTGTCTGAAAATGAGTGTAGAGTGAATTCTTGCACCTAATACAAACCAGCAGTTCCAATATTAACATACTGCATCATAGCACAAATACAGATACCTGAAGTTCATCAGCAAGGTCAAGTAGGAGTGTTGAGATCGCTACTAAGGGAGGGCATGAAAGAAGTTTGACCCATGAGAAGAACAGTACTGTATCCAGAGGAAGATCTATCCCAGCTCACTAAGTGATGGCAGCAGATACAATCAAGCCAGGTTTCCAAGCACACAGCCAGGTTTATCTGGAAGTTCCCTTTCCCTTTCAAATGAGAAATGTGATTTTTAAATGTCCTAGCAGTAGGCAAGGTGTCAGTCCCATATGATCCTCTTAGGAGTTTGTTTATGCAGAGGTAACACAAAAACACTGATCATTCATGGATGGAACATTTTCCTGAACAGAGACTTCAAGGAACAAGTGGGATTCCATTGCCCATGTAAGGCCAGACCAGAGCTAGATGTTGGATTTTTGCTTGCACCCCAAGGGAAATCTTGCCTAGACTGAACCATGTTCAACCATTGGCTAGTACAACTGATATGGCTAGATATCTCTCCTGTCAATCAGAAGTATGTGGACACCCAGGGAAGAGCACCTCTCCCTAAAGAGCTGATCTCACTTCCAAGGTACTGCAGAAAAGGATGCTGATGGAGTCAATACTTGTTAAGGTGAAGAATGGTAACATGGTAGTTGGAAAAATTTGCAGACCAGAACTAGTTCCTTCTCAAAAGCATCCTTACAAAAACTTAGTTTTTCCTAGTCAAAAGAATAAAAATAATAATTTTCTGTGCTACCAGCATCTTATAAAGGAAGGCCTCTGACTATCAGATCCTGCCAGTATCCTGCATTTTTGAAGGTAAGGTTGAAGGTCTGAAGAAATGGCTGGCTTCAATGATGAAGTATTGGTTTTGAGGTCAATTGGCTTGAAAGATGAATTATTTCAAAATACACTTGAGTATGTGTGCATGCACCCAAGAAATAGCAGAAGAGGTTTTATATGAACAGACTGTATTGGTAACCAAGGACATAGGAAAAAACAATCAAACTGCTTAATACTGGCAAACTGATGAACTGACCCCAGAAAATGACTGCTCTCCTAAGCAGATCCATGTGTGACCTGTCAGTGACACCTTTCATAAGGAAAGATGGCAACACAGTTATAGTGTATCCTATTCTGGTTATTTTTCTCCTATCTCCACAAGAAAACACACTCCACTCTTAAAATTGTCTAAAAATCAGGAAAGGAGTACAATGGGCATATCTTGTTCATGAAGGTTCAAGTAAGTATCAGTGTAAAATATCTGAGGATTCCTGAACTATATGAAAACCAGTTAATCCAAGAACCTACCACAACAAACCCAAGAGACACAGTGGAGACTCAGGAGTAAGCACCCATTGTCCTCTGTGTCATGCATCACTGATCGTAGTCGGAGCAGCTGGGCACACTTGTCTTGGTGCTGGTGACTGGATGGGAAAGTGTAAGCACCAAACCTTAACCTACTTAGAGTAAAACGGTTTAAAAATAGTACCTCACCCTCCCATAAGGTCTTGCACTGAGTTTCATTACGTTTGTCTCCTACAGCATAGTGGAAAAGCACAGAATAATATGGCATAGGCTTCCTAAAGACCCAAGGAGAAGATTAGTGGGACGTATCAGGTCACTTTGGGACAGAAAAACTCCAGAAATGTCATGGTTAATTG